CCATGTTTTACCTTTGGTACTATGTCACATTATGTTTTGTTTTTTTCTGTTTTGCAATTACAGGTATTTACATTTAAACTCGGATATTTCAATAAAATGTTTTTTTCAAATGCATTTAAAACTCTTGTCTATGTCAAAAACAGATATTTTGATGTGTTAAAAAAATTTTAAACACTAAAATGTTCTCCATGGTGACAGTTTGTCATATCTGCTTTTTTAACTAATGAGAATTTAGCTGAATCTATTCCTTTGTTTTTTAGCTGAATCTATTTCTATCAGTCATCACTGCAACGCTGAATAAAATTAGAAGAAAAACCAGGAACTTTAGGCAGTTCCTTCTCTTGTTCCTACTTTTTATTGAATGTGTCGCTTATAAGATGAACGTTTCTTGAATCTACTAACACACTGTGTCGTAAACAGGCAGCATTTGTGATTTAAGTCTAAAATAATGTGGGTGCACATTAATATTTATAAATAGAAAAAGTAGGCATTGGAAAATATATACGTAGCATATTTGGAGACAATCTAATCCAATCCAGAATAGTCTTAAACTTCTTTAATGTAAACCCAATATGCATGGAGCACAGTTAAACTGTTGGCTTTCACAGCAACAAGCAGGACAATGAGAATAAATGACAAGGCTAACATGCCTCCAGATTGCCACAATCAGGTAACGAGATGAGCCGGCAGCAGTTCTTCCTGGTTTGTAATACTGCCTTCGGCACGATGCTATTATACGGTAGTAAGTTTTACATTCTTATAACAACCTTCAGGGATGTGTCTGTTTGGTCACACATTCATTATTTTGTTCCAAAATTGCAGCCAGAGTCATAAAAGAATATCTGCAGAGAGAAGAAGGAGTCCCTTAGCAGATGGTGTGGCCCCTTCAGAGACCCGATAAAAATTTCAAGTCAGTAAAGGGAACACATGAAAAATGGTATCGACTTGAACATGCAGTAAACTCAGGAAAAGGCAACCTAGAGACATTTTCAGTTTAGAGAAAAATATAATAAACAATATTAAATTAAGAAATTGGGACGATTGTGATTTAATTTACTTTTACATCTTAAGGAATAATAATCAGGTGTAACAGCAGGAATGTGTCCCTTTTCCTGGTGTTAGTATTTCCTAAGAATAGAATGAAAAAAGTGATATCTGTAATAGAGTGTTGGGGTTAAAACAAGTACTGGGGGTTGAGTTCAGACTCAAGTATAAATTCAGTATTGATCATCTTCTGCTCTCTTTTACCTCTGCTCTTTTCTGTCTTTTTGCTTCACCTTTACATTATTTCCTACCATTTTACTCTTTCAATAAACAATTGTTCTACTTTCTCTAGAATTCCTCCACCAGTCTTCCAGTTTCTCATCTATTCATTTCTTTCTGTCCTCTATTTTAAAGTGGATTTCATTTAATCCCGGGCCTCTCAAAAACATTAGAGCATAGGCCTGTAGCACAATCAAACTTTTGTTGAAGGCAGCACATCGCTCTCCCCTTTGGCTCTGTCAAGTTTGTCACATGTGCTCAGTGTGAACCTCCTTTCACCTGAAAAGAGTCAAGGGTGTTAGTGGTGGATTTGCCAATCCTTGTGGTCTTTGGCAAACGCCAAGCATTGTGCACGGTGTTAGGCTGTAAGCACAACCCCCATCTGTGGATGTCGAACCCTCATACCATACTCATGGAGTCAGTTTCTAACACACATGGACACATGCACATTTGTGGAGGTCACTTTGCAGTTCTCTGGCAGTGCCCCTCCTGTTTCTCCTTGCACAAAGATGGAGGTAGCGATCCTGCAGCTGGGTTGTTGCCTTCCTCCATGTCTCCGGGTGTACTGGACAGTGTCCTGATAGTGCCTTTGGAGACTATCCTGCAAACCTTATTGTCACAGCTCACACTGATGTCCCTTCCTGAATGAGCTATACTACCTGAGCCCACCAGTGTGGTTTCTAGAGTCCGTCTCATGCTACCACAAGTGTGAAAGCACCATCAACATTCAGAAATGACCCAAACATCAGCCAGAAAGCATAGTTACTGGAACATAAGTACCGAGAAGTGGTCTTCACCTGTAGAACCACTCCTTTATTGAGAATGTCTTGCTAATTGCCAAAAATGTCCCCCTGTTGTCTTTTCCAATTGCACAACAGCAAATGAAACTGATTGTCAATCAGTGTTGCTTCCTAAGTGGACAGATTGATTTCACAGAAGTTCCCTTTGATTAAAGTTATATTGTGTTGTTTACATGTTCCCTTTATTTTTTAAGAGTCATGTATATTCAAATTTAAATTCTACTTTAAGTTAACAGTGTAATTAAAATGAGTTGGCCAAGTCTTTTTTGCATATCGAATCAAGTCACCCTAATTTACATAGGCTACAAACCAACTTGAGCATCTTTGCCAAAACGATCTTACTGATATTTTATTAGATTTATCACAGAATTAAGCTCATTTAGCCAACTCATAAGTGAAATGTCAAAACAGCCCACCTTACCACAGGTACTTGTTAACTGTGACCCTTCATTCCACCTGTACTCTCATCAATAAGAGCTGATCACGGCTCTGTCTTTACAAATGTTACTGTTTTCTTTCTGTCTTTCCACATTCTGCGGTCTTGAAGGGAGTTTTTTTTACACATAGTTTCTTTTGACTCCTCTCAGCTTTTCATCTATCTCAGTTTCAAAGCAAGTGCATACCACTGTTCCGTGATATTGTATGATCGGGGCATCCCCGTGTCAGTGAAGAAAATGACCAATGGGCTGCAGAGACATTTATCCTGGATTGGGGTTACATATTTTGGTCTAACAACAGTACCATAATATTACAAAAAAGGGACTGTCCCAAGAAAACAGGGATGCCTGTTCACCCTATAATATTTTTCTGTTGGTTGTCACTCTGTTGCTCTTATCTCTGTTTCACTAATGTTCCAAAACTGCTGTCTTTCTGGTTTGAGCAGTAGTATTAAATACCCAATCCAACAATAATTTATCAATTCCACAGGGAAATTAAATGTGAAAGTGCTCTCTTCATAGTTACAAATTTTCCTCGGTTTGCAGTTGGTAAATTCTGCTTGCCATGTGGAGGTGCATGAAAGTTAAAATGAAGATGTTTGGTTGTGCAGACATCCCAAACTCATCAAGCATAAATCAAGCTTAAGGAAGAACAATATTTAAAACTACTGATTTTTGTATGTAATCAATGCATTGTCAATAGAACAATTGTTCTTAATATTTGCAAACTGACACCCACTTTTATGCCTCATTATTTTGTAAAATGATTTCATAATCTACTGCAATGTTTGATTTAAAAAAAGACTGGATTTTTGTTTAATCTAAACTGAAAAGAGATACAATTTGGAATGTCCATGGTCAATTTCGAGTCAAAAAAATGGCAGCTTAGTCCTATGTGAAGTGTAAACAAAGCCTTCGTACTGGTCTGCAGAAACAAAATTCAATGACCATACAGAGGGAATAAAAAAAAAAGACAACAGATTGTATTACAGAATTTGAATATTTTATTTTAGCCTGACTTTGTACAATTACTTCTTTGATGCCCCTTTTCATTCTTTTGGACCTCGCATTTTAACTAGAGCTGATGCTACAAGTGAATTTCCCCACTGTGAGATGAATAAAGTCTGATCTTATTGTATATTATCTTGAAAGACCTTTTGTTATAAGATATTAAAGCAAATACAAACTTGCAGGTGTATTTAAAATAGCAATGTACTTAGGTAAAGCTTATGATGTTGTCATAAACAATAAACAAACTGTAACTAAAGTTCTCAAAAGTGATCAAACGAAGAGCAAGCCTGACCATGAACTCTTTGCAAGCCTCTTTGAAGAGTGCTTTGCTTTTCTGATGCTATTGATTATGTAAAGCGCCCCCCCAAATCATGTGATTGGGTCATAAAACCTTTCGATGAGTGTTATCACTGGTGTTCCTATGATGCTCTGACACTTTGCATTGACACATGTAAGTTTATTTCCACCTCTCAAAGAAAGAATACTAAAAATCCAGCAAAATTGCTGCACGGCAAAAATCTGGTACATAGCCTGAAGCTTTATGCCTTATAATCTAAAATGCCGAAGATACATCAGTGGACACATGAAAAGTTAGCTTTTATCCTCTTTATTTTTACTTTTTCATGGAAATAATTACCTTGGGTGGATTATCATGAAGTGATTTTATTTATTACTTTTTTGTGGGGTGTTATGGACAAAGTGAGTCTATTTATCCCCGCATAGAGCAGATTTTGGCATGCAAGAAAATGATAACACGGTAAGAAGTAAATAATTATGGATTTTAATTTGATGACAGGTTATCAGTCATTTGTAATTGTGGAGTATAGTTAGCTTACATTTGAGTTGGTTGTCATTTTCTTTAGGATCGCCTAATTTAAAAGAGGTACCTCATGTTGCATAATATTTACAAATAGCTTGCTGTCGGATGCGGAACAAAACGTGACCTCAAAACGACCAGAAGACCAGGAGGTTGGTGCGAGCTAAGGGATTATGAGCTTGATTATCTAGAGAGGTTTCCTGTGGTGTCGCTAATAATTGAGAATACCTAATTGCAATTATCAATAAAAATATTTGACATTTACTAGTGGTTAATTTAAATTCATGTTTACAACTGGTTTAAATATACATTTATGGGTAAAATTTGGATAATAATTGTAAATTTATAAGCCAAAGTATTATTCACAAACATCAAAGGTTGAGAGCTATTAATCCAATTATCTAAAATATCTTCCACTTGCAAAGTAATTTTGAGTATAACGATAAATTATAATTTAAAATTATGATTATGATTAATAATCAGAATCAAACCAATACAATTGCAAAACAAGAGTTGTGCAATTGTAACACATTTATCAAACATTCATGCTACCCCATATATCCTCATATTAAGATCCTTCAGACATACTTAATGGGCAAAAGAAGAAAGCAATGACATAAATTGTACAAGAAGGTAGGTCTTGCAAAAGAAAACTAAACAAACACAATTTACCTTCTGTGTCTTGGCAGAGGCAGAATGATAGCAGTAGAAGATGAAGCACTGCGGTTCCCGTTACATTCATCCATTTGACCCAGCCTCTTGACGGCATTGCCATTAATCGCATTCTAACCATCCTCACCACCATGCTTCTCCAAGCATCCAGCTGTGTAGAAAGGGGAGGAGATGAGAAGACATTAATGCAGGTTGGTTTCAATCATTATCCACAGCTCCAGCTGTGAGAGCAAAAAAGAGTATCCATTGACTGGTGGCTTTCTTGCTCACAAATCAAAGGAAACATTTCAAACCTTTAGTTGTATGGATTACTTCAACAGTTGCTTGACTTTCAACGGATGTCAGTAGAAAGCAATAAAAGGTTAGAGCAGTGTGTGTTCTCTTCAAGCTAAGGGGAAATTGTCCTCTTTAGAATCTTGTTCCACACATCATCTACAGTATCTCAACTGTACACATTTCATCCCTACAGAGATAGGCTTTAAAGAATTTAATGTTTTCAACTTGACATTTCTCTTCATTACATTCGTAATGTAAAAAAAAATAATAATAATATTTAATTTTAAAAATAAAAGATACACTGCAATCTAAAAAAAAAGTATTTGGTCTTTATTCTGCAGGAACATCAAAGTTAATCACTGACTTTTAAGATTGCCAGGGAGAGAGAATGAGAGGGAGAAACAGAGAAAACAGAGAGAAGTGTGGATATTGATAGGAAAAGAATTTTAGCGGTTGATAAAATCCCTGAGGTTCCAACAACATCTGAGATCTTGCTCTGAAAGATCTGCTACATTTAAAAATTTACATGGATAACAAGCATAAGATAATTCATTAGGCTGACAAGTGCTTATGTATTTATGCAAGTGAATCTTTCCAGTTCAAGCATAGTTTAGGATTAGAATAATTACGCATCGCAGTGGGAGCAAAGAAAGAGGAAAAAGGTCTCGTGGAGTTCATCACTATGCTCCGAGTGTACTGTATTCTCATGCTCCTATAGATTTACAGTTTATTGGAGTGATTTCAACTCAAACTCTGAAAAGATTATACCGAGTTATCTTACAGTAGTAGCCATTCAAAATGTTCCCACTTTACTTTATGGGCCCTTGGCTGGTCCCCTAAGAATCCTTTTTTAAATATCAATCTTTGTATCAAAATTATCTTTCTGTCATGATTTGTGGACAATAAGATCTAAAGAGAAGTACCATCTCCTGGTCAGACCCTGTAATTCAGTGAAAGGGTGGAGTCAGAGTAAAAAAAAAATATGCATGCCCAGGAAGAGGAGAGGGGGTCACTCCAGTGGCTGGAAGTTGGCTGCCATTTGGCTGGCGTTTAACTGGGAAGGGCAGTTTGAATGGTAACTACTGTATAAAGAAAATTAAAGAGTATCATGCTTACAGTAAATGAAGCTAAAGTGTAAATGATCTGTAAGATGATCTGGTCAATCATCTTACAAGATCACCTTCGTTTACTGTAACTCCTGGCCCAGCTTCTCTCTCCTGCACGCAAGCGACCTTTCACCCAGTGCATGCAAGCGACCTTTCACCCACCTCCTCCCACTTATCCTCTGGCTTATTCCACCACCAGTGTCCGGACCTTGGGGGAAGACTACACTAATCCTTTTCTAGGTTACTCATCGAAGCCTATGCTGATTCACAACATCTAAGTCTTCTGCCGGGACCCAAGTGCCAAATAACTTATTTAGTTTACGTCTTTATCTACTTCTGTCTCCTTGAACCCGAGTCGGCCTCAGCAGATGGCCGCTCACTATGAGCCTGGTTCTGCTTGGCTTTCATCCTGTTAAAAAAGAGCTAGTTTTCCTTAGATAGAAATACTTTGAAGAATATATTTGTTTTACCTGTATACATAAATCTAATGTTTTCAAATTTAAACCTTTCATTGTGTGAGTCTCTCAGGTTGAATACACATCTTACACCAAACTGTCGGTACCCCTAATTAATTGAAAGAAAAAAGAAAACACAATGGACGCAGAAATACTATGAATCTGACAAAATTATTTATACATTAAATATTAATGTAAATTAACAAATCAAAATCAGATGCTATTTTTCAAACATGCCTTAACAAAATTTTAAAAATAAAATAAGAAAACTCTTCAAACAGACCTGGACGAAAACAATGATACCCCTGAAAGAGACTGGAAATAATGAGACCAATAGAGCATGTTAAATCAAGTTGTGCCCGCTAATTATTAACCCAGGTGTCTACAACCTTGTAATCAGTCAGAGGACCCACACTTAAGGCTTAAAGGTAGTCATCGTGTTGATTGCCTTAAAAGGTTGTGCAACAAAATATTAGGTTAAGTCATAATTTCTGTCCAAGCTTGTTTCATAACATTAGGCCTGGTTGAAAAGCAATGACTGAAGTAAATTTCATCTTTTCATTTTAGTTTTTCTTTCACATAACAAGGGGCACCAACAGTTTTTTCAACGTTAGTATTTATCAAGCTACTATGATAGAAATTACCAGGCAGACACAAAGTCTTTGCCCGAAATTTCAAAGTGGTATTTGAAATTGGTTTATGTGACAAGAAGTGAAAACTAGATGTCTCAAACCATTAACTTTTTTAAAGGATGACAATTCAGGTGCATAATGTCCGTATGTTCTCAGTGTGGCATTTTTCAACCATCCATTTAGGATTGTAATCAGATGTTTTAGATGAAGTGACTGAGAAAGTTAAAGGAGAAAACTGATGACGTCTAACATTGTGAAGATGTTAAGCCTTAAACAAATGAATCATTATATGCTAGCTGATAATGCATCCCTAATGTGAAGTTGGACCTCCATAGGGGCATTATAAATAGCTATTTTATTTTTATACAACTTGGCCACAGGATAGGTGGGAAAAAAAAATATGACTCATTAGACTAAGTTGCATCCCACCCATTTGCTCTTGCTTTTAGATTTCAAATCACACAAGATATCCAAAAATCTGTTACAATCAGAAAAAAAAAATTTCACCTTTACTATATCTAAATTACATAATTAGTTAACTTAGACAAAGACAAAATCCAGATAGCTCCAAGCATCATGTGCCAAGTCATCAAATGCTCTCAAATTGTCCATCATGACGTTTTGTAAATGTAGAAGTAGTGACTCATCTTTGCATAGTGATGCAGTTTTAGCAATATGTCTGTGAGGGCTAAGCATTCCTTAAGCTAGTACAGTTTTAAGAATATGTCCCTAATTGTAGAACCTAAGGCTCCTGGTTCAATAAATCTACCTAAGAACTTATTTTAATTCTTACTGAAATAGTTACAAAATATATTTTCTGAATATTTCAACTGGCCAGTGTTTCTTTGTCAATGACTACCCAAAATGTGCATCTTTGATCTAATTGTGGTAGAAGCTTCATGGGTGGTTATGTTATTTAATCTTATGGTCAGCTCTTTCAACTAAGTCTTTTTAATATTCTCAGTCAACATAGCAGGGCAGCTGAAGAACTACCTTCCTTAATACTTAGAGGCTTAAACACAGCAGGGCTACAAGTCTAGAGATTCTACTCTCATATCTGAGACACATGAAAATAATAACTAAATAAATAACTAACTTATTAAAATTGCTGTGATCCCCAGTCGTCAAATCAGCATTTTTTCTGTAATTTTCTTCCCCTTTCATTCACACAGGCCTGGTCACAATTTGCAGTTTTATTGTAAATATTAACCCTTCTGTTCAACAATGTCATTTCCACTGGTTCAGTGGTGTGGTGGGAAAACATTACCAAGTAGAATAGCTTCTATTTGCAAGAGAATGGAGGACACACAGATGACATAGTCTGTGTAAATGAATGGTCAATTGTCCGCACATTTTGACTAAATAATATTTACAGAACACACAGGTGTGTTAACAAGGCTGCTATTCCTACCTTATTCTGCCCTGTTGCTTGTTAGTTAAAAGTACTCAAAACAAGGATTGTATTTATTAAAAAATGCATTTATAAGATGACACTTATATTTTTTTGAAATATATAACATCATGAAAAAAAAAAAAGTCTGGCATCTACCAGTTATTCTGTTTCCAAGTTTGCAACATGACAGATTGTTAAATATTATTATTCATTTAAGATTAATATTAGAATATTAAACCCCACAAAAACCAAAGAAAAGTACAAAGTATGAAAAATTATAGATTTAAGAAAATTGAATATCTTCATTCCATTATTCCAGGTATATAAAAAAAATCAAATCCAGTTTGTNAAAATTGAAAAAATAAATGGTAAAAAAGCTGTACATTTACAAAAAATAAAAAAGTAAATAAGGCAAAAAAAAAAGACAAAACACTGTTAGATGATACAAGATGTGTAAAACAACATCTCATGGTTTGTTGAACCCAGGAAAAAAGCAAAATTGTTTAGCAAACCCATTCCATAACTTATCAGCAGCAAGTTTGATCCTTCAGTGCTTCAGTATAGTCTTTGGATCAAGCAGCTGGTACTTATTTAGCAGTTTTCTTGACATATTTTTAACAAGATTAAGTAATACTATTAATTATATTCTTTTTTTTATTTGAGTATTATTATTTTGAATAAATAAAACTTAAATATACTTCATCTCAGGGTCTCTTTAGTGCTCTTTGTAATGTACATTCTAATTCAGTGGACAACAGCTGGAGTACATTAAATCACTTCCAATCATATCAATCAGCACTTTCATAAACACATCCCTACAATTAATATTACAAGCAAGAATCCAAACCACCGTATCATCGCTTCTAAAAAGCATACATGAGATCAAACAATTAATTGTTGATTATTATCATTTTTAATGCTGGCAAGCACCTGCACAGCTTCCAAGAAAATAAGAATAATGAATAAATTATCTCTCTTTATGACTCACCAGTTGTTATCACTGCATAACAGTCCCAGTCTGGATCAGTTCAGGATAACAACACTCAGACAGTGTTGGAGCCAGGAAGGGTAGCTGCCTCATGTTTAATTCTCTTGTCTTCTTTTGACAGTACTGTTGCAAACAATTGCAGACCATGCTGTAAGCATCGGAAACCAGGATAAAGTGTATTACGACTGAAGGCACTTTCCCTAGCTAGAACTTCAAAAAGTTTTATTCCTCCAGAGAGGAGTGGAAGTACACCCCAAAGAGAGAAAGATGTACTCAAAGAAAACGAAACATGGAAATTTGA